TTCCAAGAAAAACCTATGAAATGTACAACATCATTTGAACATCAGACTCAAAAAGATTTTACAACAGATCCTCAAATTAATTGCAAATCAGAAAATGACTCAAGTAGTAGAAATGATGATTCAAAAGAAGAAATTACAGATGACACTGAGAAGATTATAGATAATTCAGTTAAAGTTCAACTCAGAGATAGGTCAAGCTTGCAGAAACCTAAGAAGTTAGATGATTATGTGATGCAGGCTGAGACATATTTATTAGATGTACATGAACCAGATACATACGAAGAAGCCATTTAAAGCAGGGAAAGTAAATATTGGAATGATGCCATGAATAATGAAATTAATTCATTAAACAAAAATAGAACTTGGGAACTTTGTTAAACCTGCAACATATTTTCTAGGTCTTCAAATAGAAACTCTATTGGATGGAAGCATAAAAGTTTGTCAATCTGGTTATGCAAGGAAAATTCTTAAACTTTTCAGATTTGAAGAATGTAAACCAGTTCACACCCCAATGCTTAAAGAAAATGATAATAATCAATCAAACATAGCAGGTTCAGAATACCCTTTTCGACAACTAGTTGGAGCATTAATGTACCTGATGTTAGGTACAAGGCCAGACATTGCGTACAGCATTAGCTATTTATCACGCTCCCTCGAGAACCCAACACCAGGAGATATAATAAAAGCAAAACGAGTGCTTAGATACTTAGCAGGAACAATCGATCAGAGCATTGTGTACAGATCAGATAGTACAAAAGGAGTTTTACAGTGTTTCAGTGATTCAGATTTTGGAGGCTGTTGAAAGACTGGACGTTCGACCACAGGTATTGCAGTGACATATGCAGGAGGCATAATATCATGGATTAGTCAACGACAGGCCATAGTTGCAACATTTACAACAGAGGCTGAGATCATCGCTGCGACAGAGGCTGTCAAAGAAATAATTTGCCTTCAAAGATTATTCAAATCATTACAGGTTGATTTGAAAGATGTGCCAATCTTGCAAGTTGACAACAGTGCTGCAGTCAAATTAGCTCAGAACCCACAATTTCATCGGCGAACAAAACACATTGACTTGAAGAACTTTTTTATTAGAGAAAAAATTCAAGATGGAACGGTTGATATCACACGAATTTCAACAAGTGATCAAGTCGCTGATGTGATGACAAAGCCACTGGACAAAGTCAGACTGAAACTCCTATGTGGACATATGGGACTAATGTCATAAAATGTTTTGAAACAAGAGAAAGTATTGAAATAATATATATGTATATTATATATGTTTCAATATATTTATGACTTTCCATAGTTTCAGACAATCTTATATTATTGCTAACTTGCACGTGTACGTTCTTTTCGCTTTTTCTCGACTAACGTGTCTTCTAATATTTCAATTAACGTTTCTTTAATAAACAATTATATTAAAAACAAACAAAGAGGCTTTTTATTTTAAACAATAAATTCTACCGAATGTTTGGCGTTAATATGTTTGTAGTTCGTTTTTTCGATTTTTCTCACTAAAGTTTTTTGGTGAATCTATTTCTGATGATTCATTCGGAATCGAAATATGACCTTTATTTGCAGCACGAATTCGGAAAATAAGTTTATTTTGAATTTTAATAAACTAAACGTTCACCAAAAAACTTTGGTGAGAAAAAACGAACTACAAACATATTAATGCCAAACATTCGGTAGAATTTATAGAATATTGTAATTATATATATATATATATATATAAATGAATAATAAAATACCACAATATATATATATAATGTGTATGTATATAATATGTATCTATATGTATATATTTATAATGTGCACCTATATTACACTTTGATTTATTTGTATTTATTTGTAAATGTTGTCACCTGGACGTTTGCATAGTTCGGATAAGATTGCAAGCAGGCTGTAACGTCCGAGTAATCAGTCGTCTGGAATGTTGTGTTAAAGTTTTTAATGGACGTTTGGTTGGCAAGCTGACAGCAGGAAGGAGTGACTTTGATGAATTCGCCCACTCCACAACATCGATACTTCAAATTTAATTTGAAATGCTACTTTATAAAATTACATTTAAATGTAATGCTAATTAACTTAACATTATCTCCTGTTAATTCTATTGCCTGTTAATTCACAACATTCTATCGTTTTAAAACCTTTGATTCGAAAACGGCTAGAAAATTTAAAAAATTTAATTTTTATAATTAAAATAAAAAATAAATTTCAAATAAATATTTCCATCTGAAATATTAATTCAAATTTCAAGAATACATTTGAAATAACAGTAGAACCGACTTTTGTTTGAATTGTGTACCACAATGAAGACCGGTTGGAAATAATTAATCCGCTGCTGTTACTGAACCTTTCTGATTGTTATAAAGTAATCAAATTTATCATTATCTTTTTGCATTGGTTCGCTACGTTTATCATTATTAAAAAATTTGTCTCTCGTGAATTTTTTCCCTAACAACCAAATTTCCATTATAAAAAATATAGTAGTATAATAATATATAACCTATATAAGTACATGTTCACCATATATACCGTACCATAGTTTATATTGCGCCATTTATTTGTCATCCGCACTCCATGTTAAAAAAAAATATAAAAATGAGTTAAGCAAATATGTCTTGAATGAGACTCCATTTTAGTGTTATCGATTGACGAAATCATCTGGCAGTCCATTCCAAAAAGTCAAAACGCCAAAATCTATTACTAGTTTTCAAATTTGTTTTCGGTACATATAATTCATTCGAGTTGGAAGACTGCAATAGCCCATGAGTTTCCAGGGAGGAGATTTTTATGCATTTATCAGACAGGTACATAGGAACCAAACTGTTTAAGCATTTAAACACCAAGGTACTCTTAATTTCATCAGGATTGTAGGCAGCCAGTGCAAGTCGCATAAAACAAGAGGCATGGTCAAACTTGAACCGCCATCTATCTTCTTTGCATCTTGATTCGGTACTTTCAACAACTTCAAAATCCATTTATTTGATACTTTGTTTAAAAAACAATTGTAATAATTCAATTTAGCGTAGATAAATGCGTGCATCATTAACGTGAAAGTGCCTTTGCTTAAGAACTTTCTTATCTGACAAATCTGGCGCAGCTGGAAAGAACGATTCATAACTAATTCTGAAACGTATAGACTTGATTGTATAGCCTAAATTTGTAACAGAGCTAAAAATTCAATTTTACACTAATCAATGTTAACTGACAAAAGTTTTAATTGTTATACTTGTTACCGTGTACCGATCAATATATACTGTGTTTTTGCTGGATTTTGATTTAGTCTGTTTTAGCCTAGCCAAACACATCATTTATTTATTTAACTAATAAATTTATAGTTGCAATTATTTCTAACGGAGAAAAGGCTACAGGTATATGAGTATCGTCTGCATATGAGAGGCAGAAGAAACCAAATCTAAGAACAATATTAATAACCTCAGCTGCGTAAAAAAAAATAAAATTGGACCCAAGACAGAACCATGAAAGACTCCAGATCTAAAAACAACTACATTAGAAAGATTTTTCGAAAACTTCACCCGCTGCGTTCGTCCAATTAAAAATAAATCTAACCATTTTGACATAATGTCTGATACCCCATACAAACAATTCAGTTTATCCAAAAACATTCGATGATAAAAAGAGTCAAAAGCTGAACTAACGTCAAGTAATTATAACAAAGTAATTTTCTGATCGGTTTTCAGCTGAGTAAAAGTTAAAAAAAACTTCTAAAAGCGCAGTTTCACTTGAATGAAAACTACGATACAGAGGCAAAAGATTACTATTTAAGTGCTCACTCAAGACCAAACAAGCAGCATGCTCAATGACTTTGGACAAAAAATACAAATTCGGTATTGGTCTAAAATTTTTAATATCAGCCTTATTCAAATTGGACTTTTTCAAAATCGGAATAATAACAGCATTTTTGTGGGACTGAGGCATAAACACCCGTGGTCAAAGAAAGATTTACCAGTCTAGTCAAAAAAAAAACAAAAAATGAAATAATCTAAATGTTTTTAAAGACTTAAGTATAGGATCTAATAAACTTGTTTTTGAGGGAGACGTTAAGATAATTTTTTTGACCTGCTTTTCAGAAAGAATAGGAAACAATTCCAACTTGCTAGTTATCCTATCATACAAATTTATTGGGAGATAACCAAAATGTTCATATCATCTTCGGTTGGCAACGATATCAATCAATAAAAGTCTTCAAACATTTTTTTCGTTGAATAACATGCGTTACAAACTTCAACAGATTTAATCCATGCCTCCTAATCACTGGTTGTCAAACTAGATCTGTATTTCTTTCTTGAAAAAGACATAACTTTCTAAATTGACAAACAACTTTGCAGATGGCACCTTTCTTCATTCTGTTGGTCGAAGGGGAACAACTATACCGACTATTGCGACATGTTCCTTATGAAATATCATAAAATTTAGTTAACATCATCATTTTCAATACATTTAAAGATAGGAAAAGATTTCAACAACGAACCCAAATGTTTTCTGTCAACACGAAGCCAAGATCTTGCAAACAACTGTATAGAAATCGACCACCGACAAGGCTATGGTCAGAAACAATACTTGACGGGTAGACTATTAGATCATGCAATGGGTTAGTATCTGAAGTGACATTTAAATCTAAAGCGCCGCCTAAACTATGCGTTGGACCTTTAACTCAGTTTTTCAAATGGAGAGCATCAAAGACATCGCAAAAGAAGCCTGAAAGATCAGAAATATTTTCAACATGAATGTTAAAATAACTACTAAAACAATAAAACAACTTTAGATGAAAATTTGTTCAAGTATCAACGTGAGCTCTTCAAAAAACAATTTTGTAACAGGGACTGAGCCTGGCCTATAGATCTCCAAAATAACTTTAGATGAGTCAAAAATTATTAGTCGAAAGTTTATTGTCTTGAATGTTTTAAACAGTGGCAATGCTATTTTGCTGTATTTAAAGTTAGACCTAAAAAACACTAAACCACCATAGTTTAGATCATGTGGGCGAACTCTTTGAATAAAATTGAATCCAACAAGTTTAGCGGGTCCGAGAGCTATCGGGATTTTGTAAGATTTTTGGTGTGACTTATTTTTCCATTAAGCAGAGTAAATATTTTTTATTATTTGGTTCATTAGGTACAACATTTTGTTTTTTGTTATCTCTTTTTAGGTTCATTGTAGCTCGACAATACTTTTAATCTTTTTTTACATACACAGGACAGGTAGAGCAGAACCAATAAGGATTTGGATAATCTTCAAATACTGCTAGCACATTAGGTTTCGCAGACAAAGAAGTGGTATAAATCATGGCAAATATCACAGTTCATCATCACTTTCTTTGATTCCCTCGTGCTTCTGCATTTGCAGTGTTTATCTTTAACATCTTTAGACATTGCAAATGTAATCCAAATAGTAACTAAACGAAATTGACGAAAATGTTGGTTCAAACAGAATATATATGTATATATATATATATATATATATATATATATATATATATATATATATATATATTCCCAACAAAAATCAAAAATATAAACGCAGTGTCATACCCGGACTACCAATGTACATTAAGTATGACTTTGTGTAGGACTCCTCCATAGACTTTCTTACCTTTATTAAGTTTAATAAATTAATCCTTTTTACATTTTCATAAATTAAAAAAAAGTATTAACTACTTTCAAAATAAATCTTTCTATTATTTATTTTTTGTTATTCTTCAAGTATTTGTTTAGAAAAAGTTAGTATAAAAATAACTGTATTAAATTAATTACTAACGGAATGTGTTCCGGCCTCAGTTAATGTGAAGATGTAAAGAATGAAGTTGCTAATAATAACAACCACTAGCAGCGTTGCACACTTTGTAAAAAAAACGACGCAGTTAACAAAACTTTGAAATTAAAATTTGGTTAGCAGCTATATAAGAAATGATGCAAAAAATTTGGCAAATTTTCAATTTTAACCACAAATTTATAAAACGAATTTTTTTCTATCTCCACAAAACTTACGACATATTTAAGACTTTTCATGCATTTTATGGAACAACCCATTGCAGATATCAGAATAGCTAGCACCAGATTGACTATTACCGCTACATCCGTGGCAAGCCAGACAGGCTCGAATACTTTTGCTGTTATAATTTGGTCGCCAACAGCAAACTTTTCCACGGTTCCCTCGCTAAATGAAGTTTTCATCTTTATCGTCATCATGCAAAACGGAATGATTAAAGTCGACAGCCAAATCTTTGTGCAGTTATATTTAAAATATAGTGAATAACACGAGTTGAAAAATTAACTTTTCAAAAAATGAAAACTTCAAAAAATAATGTTAAACAAATTAATCTATAAATTATATTTTTCTATTATTCAATTTTCTATATTTATAAATATTTATATAGAGAGATGCGAAAATTTTTGTTCAATAACCCTCCTATGCAGTATTTTATCTTGAATCAATAAAGTTAAATCTCAATCTGTTCAATTACTATTTACATGAACGGAACATCAAATGAACACCCACTTACAATAAGAATTAGGGAATAAGACTCCATTTTAGTGTTGTAAATTTAATGCAATAACTTTGATTCAATTTCAACATAGGTTATACGAGTTGCTGTAATATGGGCAATGTTAGCCGTTGGACAAAAATAACACGTAATGATAATTAAGTTATCTTCAACGATAAATAGTTACTAATGTCATGTCTCTCTCTCTCTCTCTCTTTATATATACATATATCAACAACTGCAAGATTTAACGTTGATATTCACATACGTGCTAATTGAACTTTGCTTGAAGACGTTTTTTCTAAGTATTAAGGTATATCTAACTAGGTGCTTGCATACTTGTGATTAAAATTCTATTATTACATAATTGTTAAACAAACAGCGGTACAACAAACCCTAGTTAGAGCAATCGTTTTCTCTCTTATTGAAGTGTAACAGGCGAACTCCTCCTTAGTAGCCATCGACTGGAAACTTATAGCTCAATATTTTTATGTTTGGAAAAACAAACTCATAAGCAATGAAAGTAAACATAAACGGCAGAATTATTTTTGCTTCAATGAAAGTAAAATCATTTAACGTTAATTGTCAAAATTTATGAAAAAATTTATTAAACATCAACTTTTTTGACGTTTGCAAAAGCAAACGTTTTATCTCTTCAAAATCTTACTTGTTCATTTTATTCTTTTCAAGTAGGCTGACAGCAAACTCCAAGTAACACAAACGCTGTTGGTTCATTGTAGCACTCATGTAATGTAATAATTTCATTTTTAATTTGCTATCTGATCTCCCACAAGTTGCTACTAATATGTTTATTAGTCAGCCAAATTTGAAATGCAATTCTCTAATTGGTAAAAGTTCTAATTTTCAACGATTCACTGAAGCAAATTTTCTAATTGACTTGTTATCATTAAAAATTGATTTTCAAAATTTTTCCAATCAACTTTTTTTAATTGTATCATAATAATACATCTTGCGTTAGTGCCGTGGTGCCCGATTTTCCAATGTTTGTTTTTTAAATAAATCAATTTAGAAAAAAAGACAAAAATTGAAAAAATGGTCATATAGAGGATGTCACGCTTTGAGAGGATAAGGAGTAAAAAAACGTGGCATTTAATAAGGGGAGCAAAAGCTTATGTCATCCCGATTTGGTCTGCAATTTTTCAATTTCTATCGTAAATTATAAAAAAAAGTTTAGATAATTTCATCAAGAAACGTTCAGCACGCATAAAAAACGAACTTTTTTATTTTATTCATAGAGTTATGTACGTGCTTATATTAGATACAGTAGGTTGTCATTTTAAATAATTTTTAGTGAAACATTTGAAGTCATAATATCTAGATGGTAATTTTCAAAAGGGGTTACAAAATAGTGGCACGCTTTAATTAGATTTAAAAATTTGTGACAATTTGTGACAGGAGGGTTAGGGAGTCAAATAACACAAAAAAAAGCGTGACGTTCCTTCTTGACAGTCCCTTACGCTAACTACACTTTGGGAATTATTGACCAAAAATAACAGTTCGGATATACGGCTTTTTACAAATAATCTTTGAAATAGTTCATCAAAATTTATTAGACAAGTCCCAAAAATGAAAACGAAAACGTTTAAAACAAAATAATAGGTTAGAAGGTGGTTAATTAAATTACATTGACAAATTTATGAAAGGAAAAGAATGCTGAACGCCATCGCCACGCAACACAGAGCAACGTAAGGACTTTTTCTTTCTCCTGGTAGTATATTTATTATTTGAAATTTATTCAGTTATAAAAGGTGACCAAATTTATATTATTATTACCGATTCTGGCGCACTTCCAAAAAACACCAAGAAGTCTGAAAAGTTAAAACGATTTTTAAAATAAAAACTGAATTTTAGTACAATGATTTTGGTTTATGTGAATCATAGGAATCAATAAATAGATGCGTTAAATAAAAATAACATATTTTTTTATGATGTTACATTTTTAATGCCTGAGAACAAAGTAGAGAAAAACATTTGGTTTCTGGCCCTTATAAAAACGTTCCTGTATTCTTGCGGAACTATCATGAATTACAGGACTCTCAAACATTTCGGATCAGTTATTGAAATTGTGGATACTAATTGTGGAGTCCTGCCACTTCAAACGTCAAAATTTCTTGAAGCGGTATAGAAACATAATTTATTATTTAACAAATCCTCTAAGTTTTGAAAAACAAAACTTAGCGTTAAACTTAAAACACATCACCATATATTTATAATAAGCTTTTTTGAAACATACCGTTATAACCGACCTCTTGAACTTGTAGGGTACAGTTATTTCTCTCTGCGTGGATTCTCGACTCCTGAAGAGACTTATTTCTGATGAACTTTATTAGAAATAAAACAGTGCTGGCAATCACTTGTGTGTATTGCTGTGATCAATCTCTCGTTTATTCAATCGTTAAAATCGTTAGAATACAGCACAATAACTAATCGACAGGTAAATCATGGAATACAACCAATCGTCAGTAATTAAGCTTCTCTCATCAGACTAGCCCTGGCGTTCTTTACTGCAGTGAGTTTTTTTCCCCAGTTAGTGTTTAATATTCTAAAAATCCTACTTCTAACACCAGTGTTGTAACCTCCTCGACCTCGTAACTATCAACACCGACCTCGTAACTACCAACACCGACGTTATAGCTTCAATACTCGCTATATCTCCAACACCGTGTTGTAGCTTCCAACGATAGTCAAGAGTTCGTTTATCCGTAGGTTCAAGATTTCCGATAGATGAACACAACTACTTTAAACGCAAACTAAGTTTAACGTTTATTTAATAATAAGCAGTAATGGAAACATTAAATTTATCCAAATAGCTACATTAACGACTTCGCATCGAATCTCACTTCTAGTTTCCTGTGTTCCGTATTCTTCCTCGTTGTTCTCTTTCTTTTTGTTTCTGCGTTGTTTATATAGCTACAGATCTTCTTGTAAATGTGTCATATCGCAGTGTCACGTCCATAAATGAATTTACAACCATTTTTATAACTTTATACCTCCTAATTAATTTACAAGTGGTTCATTTCCCAATGCATGCTTGACGATTTCTATTAGTTTTTATCTCGATCTCATGTCTGTAACAACACAATTGCATAGTTTGAAAACTTATTTTGACAAGTAAAACTATAATTTGTTTGAAACAAAATTTATTGAAGCAGATATTCGTTTTCATACCCTGCTCCCTTACTTCAGTTATATCAAAAGATGCTGAACGCAGAGAGAATGTTGTAGCAAGACTTCATGAAATTATTTTAAAGCGAAAGAGTTTCTTTGAAATTTTAGACAGCAAAATATGTATGCTGCTAACTTTGGTATGGGCAGTACTATTTTCGGCTTGAAGGTAAAACAGTGGAATGAAAACGTACAAGCCAATTATTAAGAATTTTAAAAATAAAAAAAATGGTGAGAATGTTGCAGGAGAATTATAGAAAGAAGAAACGAAGATTGTACATGTGCTTTGTGGATCTAGAAAAGGCTTTTGATTGAGTACCGAGGAAGGTCATTGAATGGGCGTTGAGGAAGAAAGGAGTGAATGAGAGACTTGTTAAAGCTGTGATGCAGCTGTATGAAGGGGCAAAGACAAAGGTGAGGGTTGGAAGGGGGATGTCGGACGCTTTTAGTGTTAAGGTAGGAGTGCATCAAGGATCAGTGTTATCACCGTTTCTGTTTGCAATTGTGATGGATGTTGTGTGTGGAAACATAATGGAGGGGTTGTTATTTGAGATTTTGTATGCAGATGATTTAGTCTTGATGGCTAATAGCATGGAAGAATTGCAGTTAAAATTTGACAGATGGAAAAGTGTTATTGAAAAGAAAGGGTTAAAAGTTAATATTAGTAAGACGAAGGTAATGGTGAGTGGGGAAGGTGGGGAGCGAGTGATAAGTAAAATAGATCCCTGTGGGGTATGTGACAGGAGAGTGAAGGCTAACTCGGTATTTTGTATAGGATGTCAGAAATGGGTGCATAAGAGATGTAGTGGTGTGAGGGGGGCATTGAAAAAGGTGGAAGGCACGTTCAAATGTAAGAAATGTGTTCATAATGTGATTAATAGGACGGACGCAAGGACGGGGTTGAGTGGTGGTATTGAAAGAGTGGAAAGCTTTGTTTACTTAGGGGATAAGCTGAACGCGGATGGAGGATGTTTGAGCGCAGTTACGGCTAGAGTTCGTGTAGGATGGATAAAATTTAGGGAGCTGGGTGGGGTATTGTGTGGAAAGAAATGGTCAGTGAAGATGAAAGGGAGGGTATATAAAGCATGTGTGAGAGCAGCGATGGTATATGGTGGTGAAACTTGGGTGTTGAGGAGAGAGGAGGAAAGTGTACTGCAGAGGGCTGAAAGAGCTATGGTGAGGATGATGTGTGGGGTTAAAGTGAAGGATAGGAGGAATAGTACAGAGCTGATGTCAATGATGGGACTGCATGAGGACATTGTGACATTGATAAGGAGATCGAGATTGCGGTGGTATGGACATGTGTGAGAAGGGATGAAAAGGTCGGGATTAGGCGAGCGTTGGAGTTCGAGATTGAAGGAGTGGTAGGAAGGGGTCGTCCGCGATTGGGATGGAGAGAGCAGGTGGAGAAGGACAGGGTGAAAGCGGGGTTGCGTGATACTGAGGCGAGTGACAGATGAGGATGGCGTCGAGGGGTATTTCGGTTTCATCATAGGTAGCCAAACGGCAACTCCCGATCTCGGGGAAAATGTCGTCTAAACGTGTGTTGTTTAAAAATAAAAAAAGAATATGCATTTGAAATGACTTGAAAATAAAAAAAAGCAAAAACATTATGAATATATCTTAAGAAAGCAATGCATTCAATGAGACAAAAGAAGCAACTGTCAGATACGGGATGGAAAGGAGGGCAATGAAGAGGATGGTCTGACATTGACAAAAATATTGAAAAAAAAAACTTGGAGCAGAAATAATTACAAAAGACACATTTGAAGATGGCTGATAACAAGACAAGACCAAGAAAAATATATATTCATCATAGACAATTACGTAGACCACATGAATAATACTCATACAAAATAAATAATACATAGATGCTTAGACAGCCTTAAAACAAATTCTCTCCATTATTATTATTATTATTATTATTATTATTATTATTACGTTAAAAAAAGGCGAAGACGAAACGTCTCTGTGCCTTCTCAAAACTAAGACAATTTAAAACAATAAATTAAATAAACCTATGAGTCTATACTGAATAAATTTAAAATAATTAATGTTCTTATAAGTCAAATAATGTATTAAACCTTGTGAAAAAAATAAAAAAATAAATATAAATAAATTAATCACATATCCTAAAAAATAAATTGAAGATAATTATATTTTTAAACATTACAGAGATCACTCTGATGTTTTAAACCAGCCATAATGATATAAGCAACTAATTCTTTTTGCTTTGTTTTTTGCACACATGCACGCACATATCTGTGATACATATAAATGTTTCATGGCTGAGATAAAGACAACCCACATTATACAAGATAGTTTTTTCATCTTGTATTGATAAAACAGACTCACCAAGTTATATAGTAAATGGTAATAAAATATTTTTTCAAAATTATTATGAACCAACCCTTCTTTGTTTTTATCCAGTAAACTGGGAGCAATTGATCTGATGTAAGCACAAGTACAAATCAGTAAAAGAACTACTGTCAACAAACTTTGGAAATTAAAAATAGCTGACTGGGAAAATTAATAAACAGTTATTAGCTTTTTTATCAAAAAATTATAACATATTATTATAATTTGAAAAACTTTAAATAACTTTCATCAAGATTTTTATCAATTTGGTTGAAATAGTTCACAACAAATTTTGGAATGACATCCAATTTATATTCTCACCATAGGAAGCCACTATTATTTTTTCAATTAATCCGTTCATTTATTTTTAATAAACATTCTGTGATTATTTGTCACCTCATCTTAACCCTGTTATAACCTCAAGACAATGCATTTTACAACCAGATTACAAAGAATATGAGTTACACAAACCTCCTATAATACAAACATAGAATTATAAAAACAAGTAACCACCCAGAAATCACAAATTTAATTTATATAAATGAAGGTTGTCCTGATAAGAACTACTTGTTTTAGTTTTTATCAAATGTCTCTATACAGAATGATCATTATTATGTATAAGCCAAACTTTTTTAACAATTTTTTTTATTTGATATATTTTCATTTGTACAAATTATTGACGTGAGTGATATCATTAGTATGTATAAGTTACACTAGGATTGGCACGGTTAGTTGAGCTCTTACTGAACAAAAGAGAAATTTATTTAAGGACCAGAGGCATAATTTTATAAATAAGTTTCATAGTTTCATTTTAATTTTATGAGAATAATTGTAAACTTCAAATTGCAAATCATAAATTAAATAGGGAACTGTTTACATCTAAACATATTTCCATTTTAACTTTTAAATAAACTTTGCCAGATACAGTCTTTCTCTGTTCAACAAAAATGAAATGCTTTTTTATTATATAAAATATATGATAACATAACAGATTTTATGAGAACCTTGTTGTTTTCTTTTTGTTATTTATTTATGTTTAGTCTAATCTAACAACTTATTAGGAATAGATTAGTTTAGTAGTAGAAACCATTCAGATTAGATTTAGTTAGTTTCACTTCCAGATACTAGATTAATTTAGTTTTTTTATTTTTAGCAGTATAATAGCTCGATACTTCAATTTTCAATTAGTAGTTAGATAGACAGAATATGTTTAAGAAAATCAAATTTAATAAAATTTTTGATTTAAAATAAAAAATCTCTAATTAAATTATATTTTAAAGTTTAAACTTAATAAAAAATTATCATGAATTATAAAAATAAATAAATAAAAACATAAAACACTAAATTAAATTAATTAAATTATTAAACTATCAAAAAAGTTCTCCGTAGTAGAGTATTTATTAGCTATTTACTAGGTAGTTTTACCACTTTTGTTATTTTTGTTTTTTTATTAATTAAAATTTGTATATTTATTTAATTAAAATAAATAAATAAATTATAAAACTTATAATTTTAATTAAAAAGGCTTTTAATTTAATTTAATTGACTACTTCTTAGTCTTACTTAAGCTTTAACTTGTAAAATAGAAAATAGGAAAGACAACAAACAATGCGTAAATAATTACAACTTTAAAACTTTACCATCTTCTGGTCAATTTTGACAAAAACGTGGTTAGCAATTAATATAATCAACAATTAATAATTTCAATTTAAATAAATTTCGTTTTTAGAAAAATAACTACATGGCAAAAAATAAAACGTAAGTTGAGTCTAACAAGTTTCTTCGTAGCATAGATATAGTTAAGTTATCAAAAAAATATAAATATATACAAGGAGAGGTCTATTTGCCAATATACAATACTCTCCTATGGGTTGAAGCAGGGATATGCAAAGAACCTCAATTTTTTCAACTTTAATTATTTTTGGTAATGTCGGTTTTATTTTTTTTAAATGTATACCCATGGATATATATATAATGAATATGGCAAGTCTCAAATGTATATATATATATATTTATACATCGGTTAAAATAAATTTTTGCAAAAAATTTTGATCCATAGAACCAAAAACGTCAATGAAAAATTAATTTTAAAACACATTTAGCTTTTTATCTATGTTTAGAATATTGTTTAGTTTTTGATTATCGTCATAGCTTCCGTAGTTGAGTTATTACCAAATAAGAATTTCGCTTTAATAAACTAGCGACATAAGTTGGTAATGTTGAATGCTAACGTTGCTGGTGTGTTTCAGTTGCGTTGGGCTTTTTTGATACTAATTTCCAAAATTACAAGTTGCATTTTTATCCCTCTTCTGATAATCAATCACAATCATTCATTCATATTAATTTGTCTTTACATTTTATTATATTATTGTTATAAAGGTGATATGTAAATTCATGAAAATGTATACAAAAAGTATGACTGCTCATAATTACTGTAACAACAATAGCTGACAATCATACATTTAAGTATCTTTTTTTGAATATATGGTCATCTGAAGCTGAACAAAATTTCATAAACTTTCATGTTGTCTCTTGAATTTGCATTGTATATACAAAAAATGGGAAAATGTCTGCTTTCAATTTTAACAATTTCTAATTATTGATAAAAACCAGAGTAAATTAACGACTAATCTGCTAAGTTACCGGAATAAAAATGATAATAGATAAATGTTGTTCATTCGGTATGAGAAAGAAAAATAGAAATTATGAACAATTCCTACCAATGTTGACAATTGACGACATATACCGCAGATTCGCATTTGGGAACATTTCGAGTATCTGGATAAATGCTACGATTTAGAATGCAGCAACTCTAGAGCAAAGGTATTTGAATCACCGCAATAAGATCCTTTTGACGATTTTGGACCATTAAAAACTGCGCAAAATCGGATGTTTCAATATTTGCCGATTTGGATGGTGAAGATTTTCGCCCAGTGTCTGTACTTTTTAAATCTCTTTGTCTAGACATAGTTATGGTTTGCAATAACACAATCAAAATCCTGGAATTAACAGTATGCCACGGAACCAATTAGTCAAAGTCGAGAGAATATAAAATCAATAAATATTCACAAAACCTTAAATTAAATTAAATTAAAACAGCAACTACATTAATTTCAATCTTATAAAAAAATTTTGAAATTTCAACATTGGGTTTTTACAATACTTTTAATTTATCATTAGTAGATTTAATTTGGTCTGAACATTTTAGAAACAATTTATTAAAGTCGGTTTTATCATCATCATATTCAATATATTGCGATAGGAATATTGTACGAACTTTTCTTTTCTAAACTAACATTCTCTATTAGTACTCATTTGTATAATATGATGAGCGAAGTAGACTACTGATTTTATTAATTTCATTATTATTATAATAATTTTGATTTCAATATATCATTATTATTATTTTAAATTAAATTAATTTCATTATATTGATTATTGCCATTCTAGATGTTATTTGACTGAATAAAAGCAGTATTCCCATATTATATCCATAAATAAAAAGATCCATGTATTGAGTTCCTTTATTAGCGCTTTATAAATGTAAAATTGTATTTATATGTAAAAACCATGGATATAAATACATATATATATATATAAATATTTCCGTATATAAACATAGATATATTATGGTATAAACTTTTTTAATTCGTTTTATTATACATATAATTTTACATATAATTATATATATAAATATATATATATATATATACATAAAGTGATACAATAATATGTATGAATTAATTGTACCATATTAATCGTATATATTATAGTATAAACTTTTATTATTCGTTTTATCATACATACATATAATTATATATATATATATATATATATATATATATATATATCCATAAAGTAATACAATAATATGTATAAATTAATTGTACTGTGCCATATTAATCGTAATCATCGTATTAATTATCTATGCTTCACTATATCTCTCACAAGGGGAGGCCTATTTACCAGCATACAACGCCTTCTTATGGGTTGAAGCAGGGATATGCAAAGAACCTCATTTTTTTCAACTTTTAATTATTTTCAGTAATGTCTCCCCTTGCTCCAAACCACATAACTAGAATAATAGGACTAATCGATCAATTCGATCTATTGGTCGGCTATTTGTCGTGCTTGGATTGTTGGCTTACGAAATTGCATGAATTTTAACGAGCAAGCTAAATGAAATATTTACTTGATTTAATATGCTTAAAACATTGTAGTAATTCTATTTAATTTTAATAATGATTAATAGAATTATGTATTAAATTATTTTTGTTAATTTGAATATAAAAATTGCTTTTGGTCCGGTGAAATCCGGTGGCTTACTGAAGCCGAAGGTTGGCTTAGCAGGATTGAACTATAGTCACCTTTTTTTTACACTATTCGATCATGTTAAAAATTGGTTTGCTTATGAAATAAATGGCCTAAATAAATCAAAATTGTTATTTGAACAACTATCTTCATTATATTCAATGAATATTTTACACTCTGCTGGTGCTCATACAGCAGTGGCTTACAGGGTTTCATTGAATTCTTACGATAGCACTTTTTTGTACATATAATGCTTTAAATAAATCAATATATTCATATCACAATTATTTTTGTCAGTATAAATATAGAAATTGTTTTTGTCAGGTGAAAAACATTGGCTTACTGAAGCCGTAGGTTGGCTTAATCGAATTTTTTCTCATGTATACAATACTATGAGATAAATCAATCAAACAATCAAACAATCAGTCGGTCGGTCGGTCAGTCAGCCAGCCAGCCAGCCAGTCTCTCAGTCAATCAATCAACCAACCGATCAATCAACCGATCAATCAATCAACTAAATTGAATGAACCAAATAAACAAAAATAAAAACAAAAATAAATGAAAAAAATTTGCAAGGCCTGTTCAAACTCGAACAAACAGTTACCCGTACAGATCTACAAACAATTTCAAGATTTTAGTAAAGAAAGAAAAACACAGTAGTTGCTTTTATTCGAATTCATTCAAAAATGAAGTGACGGTTAATTAAAATTTTAAAATGTCATTTTTTTTTAAATTCGTATTTTAAATAAACAAATATAAAAAAAATATCGACCGATAAACATATTATCCATTATTATTATTATCATACACACTTCTTAGAAGTTCTCGAAGGATAATAAACCACGTAACATGAA